CCCCAAAACCCCAAAACCCCAAAACCCCTAGAAACTTATTAGTGAGTCAATTGAATTCAGGATAAATTAAGAAAGTCTCAAATAAATTATTGAACAAGGAAGTATCATCTCGTGCTGATTATTTTATAGACCAACCGTTTCTCAATTAATCAGTCTAGCTCCTAATCAAAATCTCTTTCTCTTTTTCCTGGAGAAGATCCTTTACTAAGTATATCATCAATTTTGTTATCTTGGTCTTGATGTTTAACTAAAAGAGTAGTTCCAAGCATACTCATAAAACAAAAGCATGTGTATACCATCATTGGAAGTGGGGCTGGAACTTCAGCAATCAGAGGGGAAAATATTGACATAATTCTAGCAAATACATTGCAAGCACCGAATACAGTTGAGCTATAAAGAGTTGGGAAATACTCAGCTGTGACTAGGAAGCACAGATTAAATGCACTAGAAACTCCAAATTTAGTCAAAAGCAAGCAGAAAGATATCATCAAGGTGTTGCTTGGGGAAATGAAAATGATTAATATGCCGAAAACCCCTCCCATTAAGAAGGATGAGAATAGGCATTTCTTGGTTCCAACATATCCAGAAACCACTCCTGAGATCAAGCAAGCAAATAACTCTGCCATACTAGACACAATGACCATGTTAAAAATGTCGCCAGGAATGTATTTTATATAGAAGCCAACCATATAGTATGTAAAAGTAGAGGATGCCCAAGTGATTGACATAAGAACTAGGTTTAACAGGTATAATCTGTTTTGAATCAGGTTATAGATCGAATGGTTAGGCAGTTTTTGACTTTTAACAGATTCCGCAGTCTTATTTTGAACATTATTACCTGGGGATTTCCTAAATTCGTCAATCTGGACTGACATTAATCTTCTTCGTCTATTCATCATTATTTCATCCTTAATCAATTCATTGTAAAGACTAAGCTTTTTTTTCCCGTTTTTTTCGGCAATTGTATTCAAAGCCTGCCTAGCTTCCTTATATTTCTTCACAGATATTAGGAACTTTGGAGATTCTGGTAGAGTAAAACTAATTAAAGCTGATGATAGAATAAATACAAAGAACACCAAGTGAATTCCAATATAGTCATCTGAAATATACTTGTAATACAAAGATGCCATTATCATTGTAATAGAATCAAAAATGTTGTACAAGCTTCCAATCATATTAGAGTGTTTAGCTCTAACTATTTCTTAGCCATAAAGATAACTAATTCCAACTCTAAAGCTCGTCAGGCAGCCAAAGAGGAAAACCAGAGCATAGTTTAACAATAGAGATGTTGAGACGAAAAGTATTACTGCATACAACAAGAGCGACAAAGATATTCCAATTCTCACCATTAGTATTCTTCCAACTGTGTCGCCAAGTCTTGACAAGAATAGATTTCCGAACACAGCTCCAATAAAATAGCAAGATCCCATGAACCCTATCTCCCAGCTTTCAACACATCTGAGACTTAGGTGCTCTACTAAGTTGTTTAGACTTGTTCTGGTTTCCCAATTAATGGAGTAACCGATCTCATTACTCGAAGGACTGAAGTTTAAGATATCTTAGTTTTTATATTCGCAAGTTTACTCTCTATCGCACTAGAAAAACCCAGTACCATCATTACATTGATAATCAGGCATTAGAGTCAAAAAGGAAAAAGAATATATTAGACAACCCTCTGTAATAAATGACACTATGGTCATGTATATTGCTAGTATCTGAAATCTCCCTAAAATCGAGTCATTTAGTATTTATTTGCTTACCAAAACCGCCAACTCTTTATAGTATCTTTTCATAGTCATATACTTTCACATTTTCCTAACCCTCTTGATTATTAATTTCATCAAACATATTTGGACTAATGAGTCGCTCAGTTAGAGAAAGGAAATCTTAATTTTCAATAAGGTTGTCTCCCAACTTAAAATCTTCAGCCATAATGTTTTAAACGTATTATTAATATTCTTTAATTTGTATTTATAGCTGTTAAAATGAGATTTTCAATTATATAATAATCTCCTCAAAATATTAATTAATAGTAGTTTTCCTTAAACTCAAATTAATCCTAATTAATCATTCCATTTTTCATTCTTAAGCGAAAAGTATTCTCCTAATTATTCATTAATCTACATTTCTTCCAGTGTTTCCAGTACCTCTATTAAGAGGACTGGCATTCATTAGAGCTTCATCTATAGCTGCTCCTGCCTTTTTATCTTTACTCAAGAATGAAGTTCCCAAAACACTCATAAAGCAAAATATTCCAAAAATAATCATTGGAAGAGGAGGGTTTATTTCAGCTATCAAAGGTGAAAATATAGAAATAACTCTGGCAATGATGTTGCATGCTCCAAATACAGTGGCGCTATATATGATCGGGAAATATTCAGATGTGACCAAGAAGCATAAACTCAATGAACTAGATACTCCAAATTTGGACAAAAGCAAGCATATTAAAATCAAGTGTTCGTACTCCTGATCCAAAAAGGCAAGAGCTAAGCCAAAAACTCCTCCAATCAAAAAGCATAACAATAAGGTGTTTTTAGTTCCAATAACAAGTGCTATAAAACCAGATATTAGACAAGCAAGTGCCTCAGATAGTGATGATATAATCACATTTTAAAATATATCTCCTGGTATGTACTTTATGTAAAATCCAACCATATAATAGGTAAATGATGAAGCTGACCAGGCCACATTCATCATAATGATATTGATCACATACATTTTAATCGAGAATAAGCTCCAGAAATCGGACTTTGACGAGACTGTGGACATGTCATTGTCCTCATTATTTTCCTAGTTCTTATTAGTACCTCCAAATTGAGGAAGTAATTTTTAACTCTTGTACTCTAACTCTTCGACGAATCTCTCAATAATTGGATCAAGAGGTTTCCTCCCATTCATTTTAGCTATAAAATCGAAAGAGTATCTTGCTCTCCTAAAATCACCAATACTTATCAAATATCTTGGTGATTCAGGCATCATAAAACTGAGAAACATACCGAATATCTGTATTCCTAAAAAGTACCAATAAAGATAAAACCAGTCCTTAGAAATATACTTGAAGTATAAACTTGCCTAAATCATTGTGAATCCATCGAAAAAGTTATAAAAGCTGCAGATGATTGTGGAGTGAGTTGTCTTAATTATCTCAGATCCATAAATAAAACTGAAGTTAAGTCTAATACATGATAAGTAGCCAAGTAGGAAGAGTATGAGATAGGTGAGCGCAATATTTTACATAGAATAGATAAGTAATGCATAGAGTAAAACACTGCAGATAAATCCAATTCTTAATAGCTTGATTCTACCCATAGTATCTCCATATTTTGAGAGTGTGGTGCTTCCCAAAACATTCCCAATAAAATAAGATGCTCCAAGAAAACCAATTTACCAATCTGGAGCACATCTAAGTCCAAGTGGCTCCACCCAGTTTATCAGACTGGTTTGATTAGAGTAGTTGACATAATAACCATCTATAAGACCATCTGAATGCTGATTATATTTTGATGTGCAGGTTTACTCATTTGGACAATGAAAATGAAGTCCATCTCTAACACACATATAGTCAGGCATCAAAGCAACATATGCTAGTGGATAAAGAATATAGCCTTCAAATACAAATGATATAAAGGTCATTGGCAATGCTACTAGTTGAAATAAACCTACAGCATTTGCAATTATCAGCATATGAAAATACCTAATGATCCGACTCTGTCAAAAACATCCTCTTCATTCAAGTATCTCTTCCTTTTTGTGTCTCTTTAGATTTGAAGTTGTTACTCATCATGCTTAAATAAAGTATTAGACTAATGAGAATTAAGCAATGGATACCTCATCAAGCAATCTAAGTTTCAAAGCCCTCATATTATTTTCTATCAGAGGGTTGTATATCGCCTCACTTTTATAATCAACAGATGCCATTATTAAAATTGAGTAATTTATCAGTTAATTTTCAAATTTTCGCTATTTATTACCTCAAGGGGTTTTGGGGTTTTGGGG